AAATGCTTGCAGAGCCATTGGGAGCCCCGTGGCTGGACGGACCCCTCCAAGGCACAGAGGTGGAGCCAAGGGCTTCAGCCATCATTGTAGCCCCTGCAGGGCTGGAGGCTGTTCCCAGCTCAGCTCAGGTGATGGATGGCTCCAAAGCAGATCTGCTTCAGTACTGGGAATGCTCCAGTGACCCCTCTAGGTCATGGAAATGGGGACATGAAAGGAGACCAGGCTCCAGGTCCCTGTTCATTTCTGGCTGCTAAAATCACACGTGTGAGATGGATTTGGACACGAGGCTGAGGAAGTAGTTCAAGCTCTGGGCACAACAGATGCCGCTTTGAAGGAGATGCCTTCAGGGATGTGCTGGCTTGTGTCTCTCCTGGGATGAAGGACAGAGCTCAGCCAAGGCTTTTCCTTCAATGTGAATGCTCATAACTCTGTGTATGGCATCGTCCAAAGGGATCAAATTCCACCCCACTTCTGGGGTTAAAAACTGAAGTTCACATCCAGACCTGAGCTCTGGAGACCCCTGGAATGAGTATCCTCTGCTTGGCTGGGAGACAAACACCTCTGGCTGCCCAGGAGTGTTGCAGTGTGGTGCCATTTCCTGTTTCACCTATCCCAACCCCCCAGGTGTGCCAACCTCTCCTTTCCCCTCCCCCTGTCCCCGGGCTTGAAAGGAGATGGGACCATGTGGTCTGGATTCTGTTGGGAGCTGTTACAAGATTCAGAGGTCTGTCATCCTGGAATAAACTCTGGATTAAAACTCTACGGCAGAATCCTCTCCTTTTTCTCTTCACCATCGCCTGAACCTTTTCCACCAGAGGTAAACTGAGTTTCTACTATGCCTGGATTTGTTCTGAGTGCCCAGCTGCAGCATCCAGCCGGCCAAATGTATCTCTGAGGTGAAACACCACAGCTGCTGCCTTTGGCCCAGCAGCAAGGGTCAGACGAGGCCAAACACGTCCCACCCGGAAATATTGGGATTAATATTCCATACAGGAGGCTCGGCCCTGATGCCCAGGCATGGCTCTGCTGCCCACAGCACTGCTGTGGCTGCTCCAAAATATCCCCTTGTGCTGAAACACCCCGTGTGTGCCTGCTGCTTTGCACTACCAAGGGACCCAGTGATCCCAAGCTGGTACCCAGGGGAGTGATTGGGCCAAAAACTCACCCAGCAGCTGGAAGTCCCTATACTAAATGCAAGTTCCCAGGGCTCATATTACCCAGAGGGGGAGCAGCAGCCTGTTCCTGAGAGCTGTTCCTGGGCTGAAGGAGAAAGTTGTTTCCTTTTTGAACTAATTGCAAAGAAGCTGCTGAGTCTATCTGGGTCAGGCCATGACCTGCTTTAGCCAGGCAGAGGCAGCAGGATGCCAGTGTGACACAGCGTGACACAGCGTGACACAGCGTGACACAGCAAGATGGGCGCCTGTCCGCTCCCCTGCCATCATCACGGGGCATGTGCAGGGACACCCAGTCCTGGATAGGGTGAAATCAGTCTGGAGGCAAAGGAAGAATCCTTTGGGAACAAGGATGGGCTGAGTCTTTCCCAGGAATGGTTTTGGTTTGGGGTGGTTGATGCTGGATGTGAAAGAGGCTTCTGGGCAAAGGAGTGGCTCCTCCTGGAGCTGCTGGCGGCAACAGGGACTTGGCAGGAGCTGCTCTGGTTTATCCCTTTGATGGCATCCTCGGGTGTGGGACCCCAGAATGAGGGTGCAGCTGGTGTCACAGGCTGGGGGAATGGGGCCACATCCCCGAGGAAGCCCATGGCATTCTAGAGCACGGTGAAGCCTGGAGAGGGGTCAGTAGTGCTGAACCGGGCACAGTGGAATTCTTGGAGGCACCTGAGGTGTGTGTGGTGGGAAAAGGACTGCTCTGAGCCCGGCTCCCAGCAGGCATTGGCATCTCCTGAGAAGCCTCAACCCTGTGAGCACAAGAGAAGGATTGATTTTCTTGTGGCCAGCGTGGCAGCTTTGGCTTCTGCTGCAGCTGTGGCATTGCTGGTGGGCTCAGAGGGGGAGAAATGGAAGTTGTGTCCACAAGAGAGAAACCCAGAGTGGAAAAGAAATCTACAAAACCTGGTTACAGCCCTGATACCACATGCCCAGGGAGCAGGCAGGGTTGAAGAAGTGCTGTGTGCTGGTGGGGCTCAATGGGTGCTGGGGAAGGTAAAGCCACAGCATAAATTTAGATAAAAATTTTGCCTCTGAGTTGGTTGAGGATGAGCTTGGGACAGATTTTACAGAGTGAGGGGCAGATGATCTTCCTCTGTGTTAGGAGAAAACCCACCAGAGCCAGCTGTTGGAGCTGGAGGTGTTTGTGTGAGGGACCTCGGGGTGAAATGCGTGACTTGGAACTGGTGGTTCCATCATCCTTGCACCTATGGGAAGGAAGGTTCCCTTACCCTTGGAAATGTCCAAGGCCAGGTTGGACAGGACTTGGAACAACCTGGGATAGTGAAGGGATCCCTGCCCTGGCATGGGGTTGGAATGAGATGATGGTCTGTAAGGTCCCTTCCAGCCCAAACTGTTCTGTACTTCTGTGAAGGTCAACTTTGTGTTTGCACAAGGTGTTTTGCAGCTCAAAGCTGTGAACTGCTGTCCCCAGGCACAGCCCTCTTGGGGCAGGGGCTGCCTTAAAGAGAGGGGAAAAAAGTGTAGAATTGGGGTTTGCGGGTGTGGGTTGTGTGCACAGCCTGGGAACAGACGGGGGGACAGAGGGGAGCTGCTCTCTGCTGATATTCACAGCTGGTTTGGAAACATTAGGCCCCCAAAATGAGCTGGTGTCCAGCTGGGTGCTGAGCCCTGGCCTCCAGACTCCCAGGAGTGACCTTTGTAGGTTTGGGAAATCCCACTGGCACAGGGACAGCCCTGCCTGGCTCCTGCTGCCCACATTGCAGCACCCTTGGGTGCGGGCTGGGGCCAGCACAGGCCCTACACTGGGGCTGTGGTTGCCCCCCGAGCTGGATCTGTGTGCCCACAGGAGTGCAGAGCCCCGTGCTCCATCCCACCTCCCACAGTGACTCGAGGATGGATCTGAAGGTTCCAGAGCCCCCTGTGCCTGTCCCAGCACTGCCTCCCCCAGCTCTGCTGTGGCTCCGGGCCAGAGACAGCTCAGCCAGGATGTGGGGACACATCCTCTGCAACATGCCAGTGTTTCACAGGCTTCAGGGACAGCAAGCCCAGAGCTGTGTGTGTCAGTTTCCTCTGCCCCTTAATCAAAATTGCCTTGGAAGGAGCTCTGTAGCTCCCAGCTGGCGCTGGAATTGGCGCTGTGATTCCCCGATCTCATCTGCTGCATCAGCCCTTCTCCCTGTGACCCACGGCTCCATGATCAAATGATCCAGCTCATGTGGGTCTGGAAAAAGGGAATTTCAGTGCTGCCTGTGGCAGGGACATACATGGTCATCCCAGGGTGGGGAGAATGTGGGGCATGGTTTGGTCCTTGCAGACCCCCAAAAGCCTGGGGGGAGCAGGGCATCCTCAGGATGGGGAAGAGGCAAAACAGAACAGTTTGGGATATTTTTGGACTCTGTTCATGTAATACCCTCTGCTGGGGAATGCAGTGGATGCAGGGCTGAGTTTTGGGCTGCTGTGCCCATTGGGGTGAAGGAGCCATCTCCCTGCACCCCCAGCTTCTCTGCAGCTCTGGAGAAGCTGTCTTGGCCAGGTGGTTTGAAAGAGGAGGTGTGGGGGGGGGGGTACCAGGAAGGCTGCATTCCCCAGCCCACCAGGGACAGCCTCAGTGGGCTCCAGTACACCCTCCAATGCACTCACTGCACCCACACAGGTAGAGGAACCCTTACTATGGGTGGCCAGCCTGGAGCTGATGGTCCCCACAGAATGCTCTGGGACCCCAAAAAGCTTCTCCTGCTCAGAGGTTTTTCTTCAAGGAGGCTGAGTGAAACCATGCTGGAGCAACCTGTGGAATGTGTGTCCTGGGAGATTTGTGGCACCTGGTGTCTGTGGGACCACAGCTCCACATCTTTCTAGAGATCATTTCTTCCTCTGGAGAAAACCTTTTTCTTTGAGTTTTGAGATTTTTTCCTGAAGAGCTGCAGGCGAGATGGAGCTTTTTTCCATGGCTGGTTTCCTTGCTGAACTCTGCTCTGCCTGCCTGGGCAAATCCTGTGGGCATGAGGAGTGATGAGCTTCTCCCCTCATTGGGACTGTTATGTGACATCCCTGTCACTGGTGGTGGCAAGGATGGCCCTGCTTGTGGGTGTTTTGGGTGGCATGAGACCACACCCTTATCACATGGAGAAAAACACCAAGGCAAGGGGGGGGACACAGGGCACTGTCTGAGGGGTGACATGAAAGTCACCATGGGGCAAGCAAGATGACAGCAGGAGCATGGAGAGATGTGGCAGGTGGCACCATGTGGGGGGACTCTGGGGATGAGGAGGACACTCCAGTGTGGGGGTGGGACTCAGACACCAGTAGATGGGGGTCACAGAGCTGGTCCTCCTGCCTAGAAGAGCAGGAGGTGCTCTTGGGTGACAGGAGATTGTTTCAGGTGACAAGGAGTTGGTCTTAGATGACCAGGAGATGGTTTTAGGTGGCCAGGAGATGGCCTCAGATGTCTGGGAGGTGGTCTTGGTTGATCAGGAGGTGGTTTTAGGGACCAGGAAAAAGCTTTGAGTGGCCAAGAGGGCCCCATCCTGCCTGTGGTGCAGGCCTAAGTGGTGAGGGTCTGTGCCCAAATGTCCTTGCTGCAGGGACCTGCTGTAGGGACCTGGGGACACAGGGGTGGGGCTGCAAGGCTCCCTAGGGGAGGACATCACATAGGCCCTGGTCCTGTGGATCCCTGTCAGGGGACATTGTGTGCCCTCACTCTGGGGTGTGGGGTGCAGTGGCCTTCTCCCAGGATGGGGACATTGAGCACCCATGGCCAGTGGGAACAAAGACCGAGATCTGGTGCAGCTGAGGGGCTGTGGGTGCCCTCTCTGAGCTGGGCTGTAACAAATCCTCCTCTTCCTCCACAGCCTTGCCAGCAACTGCCTCACCAGGATGAAGGGGACAGCCAATGTCAACTCCACTGGCCGCAGCCACTTCCAGTCTGCCATCCCAGTGCCCCGTGCCATAGCCCATGGCAAACTGCACCCCACAGCCCCCCTGAGCACCCCGGGGTCCCCTGTCCTCCACAGGGCTCCATCCCCTCAGCCACGGAAGCTGCCAGCCCCCGGTCCCAAGACTCTCAAGCCCAAAGCCACTGGCAAAGCTGCTGGCCATGAGCTGGCTGAGGGCAGGGAGGGAAGCCCCGGTGTCCCCACTCAGGGAGGGCAGAAAGCCCCATCAAGACCCCTGGTGTCCCCTGGGAAATGGCCAGAGGCAGTGGGCAGTGGGAGGAGAGGGGCAGGCAGGGTGGGGGAGCTCACTGAGTTGTGCAAAGCTCCCCTGACACAGGGCAGGGGTGGGGGGCGGCTGGGAGGGTCCCCTGGGAAGGGCAGGGGAGCAGCCACAGCAGGGACAGAGGATGAGTCTCATGGTGGCTCACAAGGGAGGGGCCCTGTGTTTGGGTCAGGGGCCATCACTTTCTCCTCAGGGCCCCCACACAGCCACCCCATCACTGCCACTGTGGCACCCTTCCAGTACCGGTGAGTCCCCGGGGATGGGGGAGCATGGGGCTGGGGGTGCCTTGGGACATGGGGGGCATGGGGACAGGGGGAGGCAGGCAGGCCCAGCATGGGTGGCCATGGGAAATGGTGGAGTTGGGTCAGGGGGCTCTGTGCCAAAAGGAAAGTTCCCACAGGGTTTGGGGTGCTGGGGCTCCTAAGTCACCCGTGGGAGCTTGATGTGGGGCAGGGGATGGACTCATTGGGGAATAGGGTGCCCTGGGATGCCTTGCCATGAGACCAGTGTTCCCAGACCATGGCAGAGCCATCCCAGACCATGGGAGGTTCTCATCTCCTGGGGGTCCCCAGGCAGTTGTCCCTGATTACCCACCCTTGCCCCCTCTGCCCACAGGCTGCAGGAGGACCGGGAGCATGAGAGGGCCACGTCCCCAGGTGATGAGAGCTCCGGTCCTGAGAAGGGATCTGACCCTGACCCCAAGCCCAGAGGCCTGAGTGAGTCCAGAGGGGTTGGTCAGCAGTGGGGGTGTCCTGCTGGGGGGCTGCTGTGACAGGGCCAGGGGACAGAGGCCTGTGCTGAAATGGGAGCCAGAGCTAGAGGGCAGTGGGGTATGGGGGAGCCCTCACACTGGAGGTGCCCCAACTCCCCTGGGAAAGGCTCGTCTGCAGTTCCTGCATCAGGTGACCTCCGTGGCCAAATCCCTACGCTGTGAGAAGCACAGGGGACTGACCCCTCCGGGGACGGTGCCAGGACATCACCCCTGCTGGCTCCTTTCCCTCCCCAGTTTCCCGGCGAGCTCCAGGAATGACCCATTTCCAAGGAGTGGCGTGGAGGGACCCCTGGCTGCCCACACCCACCACCGGGTCACCCCCTTTGTCGAGGGCTGAATACCAGCTCCCCGCTGCAATGCTGAGGCCATCCCAGTCCCCTCTGGAGCTTCCATTGAAGGGAGATTTTGGGGAGGCGGATCCAGGGAGGATGCTGGGGAGGCGGTTGCCAGGGCAGCGGCAGCGGAGGATGGCGGGATGCTCCAGAGATGTGCAGAGAAGGGGAAAAAGAGAGCCGGGAGCTTCACCGGGTGATTTGAAGGGACAGAAGTCGGTCAGATCCACGGTGGCTCCTGGCAGAGCCCGACTCTGACCTGGGGTCTCAGCACCTCAGTCAGAGAATAATCAGCGCTGAACCCCGATTTGGAAAGTGCTGAAGCCAGCGGGAAGCGGGAGGGTGTTCCAGGAGGAAGCAGGAGGGAGCGAGCGGGGCTGGCATGCGCTCAGCACAGCTGCCCTGCTCCTTGGGGACCTTTTGGGACAAAGCCGAGCGGGTTCGGCCCCGGGGAAGGGGCCGGATCCTTTCCCTCCCTCCCTGCCTGCTCCAGCTTCCCCTGCCCGCGGCACCTCCCACGGCTCGGCTGGGCCCAGCCAAAGGGAACAGGAACATTGGGAGAGCCCAAGAATCACCTCAGCAGCCCCAAAACGACACAACACCCGCAGATCTGCCCCCACAACAGGCTCTGCACCCAGTCAACAGCCCTCCCCCGAACCCCGAGTAGCTTTGGGGTGCAGCCTCTGCACCCATCGTGCCCCAGCAGCACCTCTTAGTGCAAATCATCTTTTTTTGGGGCACCCTTTACTGTCCCATCCGGGTGGAGTTATTTTGGGACTCTTCAGCACTACCACAGACTGAACCCGGGATCACCAGCCCGGGGGTGGGCTGGGGGGCTCGCACCACCCCCGCTGCTCCCGGCCTTATCTCGGCAGCAGTGATGGGGTCTAATGCAATATTTCCCGGCGGTTGCCATGGCAGCCCGCGTGAGGTCACCAAATAGACTTAATTCACCCCTCCCAAGGGACGGGTAATTAATGAAAAATGATGATAACCAGATCCCACTCCCCTCCTGCCCCCCCCCCCCCCCCCCCCGCCTTTAATTCCCTAGGAGCAGTGGAGAGGCCCTGCTGGGTCTGGGGGCTACAGTGTCCCTCACGGGATTCCTGAGGCCACCCTGGGCTCTTGCTGCATAATTTGGGGAGAAACGGGGATGTTTTGGCCCCCCTGGGAATGGGTGCACAGTGTCTAGGTGGGTGTGGGGTCCATGGCGGGCGGGACAGGGGTGTGGGGGTCCCTTCAGCGCAGGGTGCTGGGGCGTGGGGCCCCCGCGCTGGCATCATCCACCTCCCGCCCAGCCCCCAGCACGTCCCTGCCTGCGAGGGGCCGTGGTGGCGGGGGCCATGGCCGGTCCCGCGCTCGCCCCTCACGCCGCCCCGAGCGCGCTCCCGGGGTCCCGCTCGCTCCCTCCGCCCCGAGCCCGCCGCGCGCGCCCCCGCCCGGCCCCGCCCCGCCGCGCGCGCCCCCTCCCCTCCCTGCCCCCCCCGCGGGCGCGCGCGCCGCGCCCCGCCCCCTGCCCGCGCCAGAGGAGGGCGGGCCCTTTTTGTTCGCCCCTGACATTCCGCTGGTTCGCAGTGTCCTGCCGGCGGCGGAGCGGCGAGGTGGGGCTGTGCGCTCGCCCCCCTCTCCCCACACCCCAGCTCCCCGCCCGCGCCATCCCCTCCCCGCTCCGCCCCGGCCGGTGGGACGGGCGCTGACGGTGCCTCTCCCTCTGTCTCGCCCGGTGTGTCCTCGGTGCCGCAGCAACAGCAGCAGCGCCTGGCGGGTTAAATGGTTGCAGCGCGGGGATGCTGGGGAGCAACCTCAAGAGCCTTCCCGACGTGGAGCTGGGCGAGGAGGAGCGCGGCTTTCGGCGGGGCCCCGACGGCAGCACCGTGATGCCGAAGCGGGCGAAGGCGGCGGCGGCGGCGCCCGCGGGGCCGCGGGGCGCGGAGCTGCGCGTCTTCAAGGCGAGCAGCGCGGAGGGGCGGCTGCCGGCCGGCTCCAACCTGCGCAAGCAGAAGTCGCTCACCAACCTCGCCTTCCTCACCGACGCCGAGAAGAAGCGGCAGCTCTATGAGCCTCGCTGGAGCGACGACATGGCCAAGGCGGCAGCGCCGGGGGCGGCGGCGGCGGGGGGCGGCGGGCGCGGCGGCCCCCGCGGGCGGGACGCGCCCGCCATGTCGCGGAGCCTGTCCCGCTCCGAGCACTCGCTGCTGTCGCCGCGCCCCGCCGGCCCGGCCAAGCCGCCGCCCGCCGGGAAGCCGAGCCGCATCCCCCGCGGGCCCTACGCCGAGGTGAAGCCCCTCAGCAAGGCCCCCGAGGCGGGCGGCGGCGGCAAGTGCGACGACGAGTTGCTGGGCGGCAAGGGGCCGGCGGTGGCGGCGGGCACTGAGGAGAAGCCGTACCTGAAGGTGGATCCCGAGCTGGTGGTGACGGTGCTGGGCGACCTGGAGCAGCTGCTCTTCAGCCAGATGCTGGGTGAGTGCGGCCGGCGCGACCGCTGGGCTCGACGTCGAGATGGGAATGGCCAGAGGTGGCAGCTGGAGGCAGCTGGGCTCCTGACACTCCGTGAGGACCCACTGAGGGCGACCTCAGGGTCTTGAAGAGAAGGGTGACTGAGGGGAAAGGAGTCATCAGCCTCGGTGTCCCCAGTCACTTAGAATCACAGAATGGTTTGGGTTGGAAGAGACATCCTGTTCCACTCCCTGCCATGGGCAAGGACACCTTCCACTAGCCCTGGTTGTTCCCAGCCCTGTCCAACCTGGCCCTGGCCACTGCCAGGGATGGGGCAGCCACAGCTTCTCTGGGGACCCTGTGCCAGAGCCTTCCCGCCCTCACAGGGAGAATTTCTTCCCAATATCCCATTTACCCCTGCCCTCTGTCAGTGGAAAGCCATTCCCCTTGTCCTAAAGTCCCACTCCAGCTCTCCTGGAGCCTCTTTGGGCACTGAAAGAGGCTTTAAGGTCTCCCCAGAGCTTTCTCCAGGCTGAGCATCCCCAGGTCTCCCAGCCTGTCTTGAGAGCAGAGAGGCTCCAGCCCTCAGTGCATCTCCAAGGCATGCTTGAGGGAAGGTACTGTCAGCTGCCTCTTGCCTTGGAGGAAAGGCAGTTCCTCCTCACAGGGAGCAGTGGCAGGTGGTGGTGGAGCTTGTCCTCCCCCACGTGTCTTGTCGGCCATCCCTTGTCTCAACACCCCCCAAACACCATGGAGGCTGCACAGCCGGGTGCCACAGCTGCTCCCCACCATCAGCGTGGCTCGCCCTGGGGGTGACCTTGGGAAGCTGCTGGTGGAGGTGCCGTGTGAGGGGTTCATGCTGCTGCTCCATTTTGGGCAGACCCAGAGCTCCACTGAGGTCTGGTCTCTGGCAGAGGAGGGTCTCCAAGGATGCTGCTGCAGGGTTTGCATGAGCTGATTTCAGGCTGTGGCTGCCTGAAACCTGCTTTTCTATCCCTGTGGGTTTGATCCCTGAGCTTGCTGTGTGCATTGTGTGCAGAGTGGGTTTCCATGAGAACAACGAGCACTGGCCCAGTGCTGGCTGTGCCCTGGACCTCAGGACCCAGTGCCCCCAGCGCTGGGTCTCAGTGCAGGTGAGCCCAGCCCTTGCCATTCTCTCGTGCTGCATGCTGATCTCTAGGAATTGTGGCTGCCTTGGCAGCCCTCTGTTTCCCACTGACACCCCATCTTCCTTGCATCCCATCCAGCAGTGCCTGGGGTTGGCTGGGCATTGACTGTGGGGGCTTGTGGCTCTGAAGAGCTGTGCTTGGTCTGGCAAACTGGCATGAGAAGGTGGCAAAGGAGCTGTGCACAGCCATCATGGTGCTTACGGTGCTCATGCTGGCTGGCTGCAAAGCCCTGGTGCTTGGTGGTGGTGGGGGAGCAGCAGTACAGACAGGCAGGACTGATGTGTCCAGTCCCTTCAAGTTCCCTGCCTGGACCTCTTTTTAGGAGGCTGGGAGCTTCTCTAGTGCTTGAGCTGGCTTGAGATGCCTTGTCCTTGCTGTGTGATGAAGAGAAAGGGAAGAGATTTGCTGTGGCTGGGATCTGAGGGAGGGGGTTTGGAGAAGTGGAGTGAGCTGGAGGTGCTGGAGTCAGGCACCTGGAAAGCCACACTTGCAGAGTCCACTTCCCTGCGTACCCCTGGCTGCTTCAGGAGCCTTTGGGGTGTCACAGCCCCAGCTCCAGCAGGGCTCTGGCACAGCCACTGTGCACCAGTGTGTGCTGGCACAGAGGCATGGAGCCTCCCAGAGCATTGCCCTTGGCCCCCAGCCGCAGGGGCAGCAGCAGTGCCCTCCTTGGCAGGGTCTGCCCTGATGCTGGGGCATCCCAGGGCTTGCAAATGGAAGCCACAGAGTGAGCTCGAGGCCTGGGCAGGCAGACTGTGGGGATGAGCAGGGGGGTGCAGGAGGTCAGCCCAGCTGTGGGGGCTCAGGCTGCCCCGGTGGTCCCACATCTGGGTGTACAGACATCCATCCTCAGGCCTAATGCTGCGGTAGCACCAGATGCCACGGGAGCAGGGCAGGATTGCAGGAGGATTTGTCACTTACGGGACTAACAGACTGCCACTCACTGATGTTGGGATCCCTGGGGGAATCTCAGTGTCCCCCTATGATGCTCTGCTCTTAGGTGGGAGTTTCCTCAGCATCTCCAAGAGAAATCCTTGCGGGACTGGCCCAAGTGGGAGTGACTCCCAGTTGCTGGTACTCTGGAGTACCAGAGATCCAAGAAGGATCTTGTGCACACTCTGAGGAAGATCATGGTTGTGGAAGTGCCCCCAGCAATTGATTTGGTTTCTGGGGTGTTGCCAAACTTCCACCTGCGTCAGTCAGGGCTGACTTTGACCTTGGGAGGTGTTGAACATCCTTTTGGACTGCACTTAGCATCTGAAACTTGGTCAGCTGGTCCAGGAGGCCCAAACTCTGCCAGATCTGTCCTCTGTGTATTGCCAATAATTTTCCAAGATATATCGACTGGCAGGCTTCCTGCAGGGGGGATCGAGGGCTGTGTCCAGAGTTGGACGGGGAGAGTGTCTGGGGTGGACAGAAAGGGAGCCTCACCCTGCTGAAACTCCCCTTCCATGGGGTTGTACTTCCCACATTCGTGGGAGTTGTGATGTTGAATCACACCTACTTAGCCAAGCCAGCCATGACCTGGCACATCCATGACAGCCTGTGTGGTGGGGATGCCACCAGGAGCCTGGGATGATGAGAGGAGGGAGCTGTGTGACAGTGGTGCTGGCACAACCACAACTTGAGGTTGTGTAGACACACACTGAGCCTCCAGACCCCTTTGCTTGCGATCCAGGCAGATGAGGTCTTCCCCAATGGTGATGGTACCTTCCATAACCTGGCTTCCCCAGGAAAAGGTGGTTCCTGTGGTGGAGATGGACGCAGAAGGAATGGGATCCCAGGAGAGCTGGATTCAGGAGAGTGGGCTTCACACCCTGCTAGGGTTGGTGAGGAGCACCAGGAGAGGGGCTTTCTCCTGATTGCTAGGAGATGCTCAGGAGGGAGGGAAGGAAAGTCTTTGCTGTTTTCATCAGTCCCTTTGGCAAACAGAACATCAGCCTGAGCTGTTTGGCAATGTCTGCTGAAGGACACCCTATCCAGAGTGGCATGGAAAGAGCCACAAGCTTGGTTTGTGCTGGGAAGAGAGAGGAAATTGCGGGGACTTCCAGCCTCTGCAGATATGGTTGTCCTTGAACTGCTGACCTGTGTTGTGAAGCCCCTGCAGCTTCTGAGCTCCTGGCGCTGCCAGCCACAGTGGCTTCCAGAGACCTTGTGTGTTCAGTGTCCACACCTGAATTCTCATCTCTACCTCACGCTTCTCCTGCCAGAAGCATTCCCAAGCCTCTCGGTCAAAAATAGTTTATGCAGTCATGGCCAAATGTTACCTCTCATTCGGTCACTGCCGCTGCCTCATCTGTTTGATGCCACTGAAGCCTTTGTAGCTGAACCATGTTTAAAGAGCAGCCTGCGCAAGCCAGGAGAGGTCACAGGCACGCAGCAACCACATGTGCTTTGTGGAGGCTATTTCCATCATCCAAATTATACGTTTTGCATCAACCAAAGGCTGAGGCTTCTCATCAAAACTGCCTGGCAGCTGGGGCTGCTAATTACGCCAGTGCCCAACCACAGGATGAAGGGGACGGAGGGCACATGGCCAGTGTGGTGGAAGAGCTGGCTGTGCAGAGCTCACCCTGCTCGTGTCCACGTGTGATGGACAGGGCTGATCAGGTGCAGGGGCTTTTTTGTACAGGCTGTGCCTGTGGTGCCCGGTGTGATGGTTGCACTTACCTAGAGCTCCCCAGGGCACCTCTGAGATGCTGCAGCTGCTTTCTGCAGCCATTTCCTTGTCCATCTCTTGCTGGATGTGGTGCCTCTTAAGTGGCTGCTAATTCGCATCAACAAATAAGTGGTCAGTGTTGCGTGGGTCAGAACCCAGGTGGACACACATGAGGTCCCAGTGGAGATGGTATTCCCTGAAATGCTCTCTGCAGGAGTCTGCAGCCCTGCCAAACTCTTCAGTTGCAGCTATAACCCATCTGAGTCCTGCAGCCCTCGAGTGGGCCATGCTGCCCTTCCCCAGCAGGGATGTGCTTGCTGGGCAGTACATAGCTGTGGGGAGTTGGTAGCCTTGTGTTGCCAACACCCAGGCAGGACAGAGCCCGCTGTGCTCAGGCTGGTGCTGGGTGGGCACTGGGTGCCAGCAGCCCCTCAGTGGTGGGGAGGAGAGCCAAGGGCTGGAATGGGCAGATGGGCTCCATGACAGGCGGGAGCTGCGTGTTGCATCTGACTCTGGCTTAAAAAGTGAACCACAGTGCAGAGAGGACTGGCATCCATGCAAGGACATTCCTGACCCTGGTGGAGATGGGAGCCAAGTTACTCCTATTTGATTGCCATCCTTGCTGGGAAACACATGGGATGGGATCAAAGAAGCACTTCTGCCCCATGGCATTCCTCCCTCTGCCCCACGTTGTTCCTACTGGTTTAATTAAGCACTAATGTGCCCGTGGCAGCACTGGGCAGCAGTAGCCAGGCTCCCTGGCAGGAGACCATGAGGAGGTCAGAGACCAAGTAGCTCTTCACAGTGATGAGAGCGGGTTATTGCCTCGTAAAGTGCTGTGGCTGTCCTGATACCACTAATGATATTCCTCTCTTAAGGTCCCTGTGTGACAGCATCTGTGTGACGAGGTCATTGGGATGGGGATTTATTTCCCTTTGCCCACAGAGCTGGACTCCTGCCTTTGGGGTAATAGTGAGGAAAAAGGGGAGTGGTACACAGTTGTACTTCCAGCCTGCTCTCAGGACCTCACTGCAAGTAGTAATGTCTGCTTTCTCCAGCTGAGATGGCTGCAGTGACTGGGAAGAAGATCTGGAAATGGGATCCAAGGGCCGCCCCAGAGCTTCTGCTGAAGCTGTTTGGGATGTGCTCTGTTCCCAGTGATTATGGCAGTGTGGAAAAAGGGCTGAGAAAAAAAT